AATATCCACTGCTCCCTCCGGAACCGGACATCACCTGTCCCAATATCTGCTGCCCGCTCCGATCTGCTCTAAACTCTCCTTCTCACCTAGAGAGTCATAGAGTCCCTACAGAGTGGAAACTGGCCATTCAGCCCAGCAAGTCCACACAGCCCCCCTGAAGAGCATCCCACCCAGACCCGTCCCCCTACCCCTGCATTTCCCATGTCTGACCCACCTAACCAACATCCCTGGGCACTATGGGTAATTTAGCATGGCCAGTCCACCTACCCCGCACATCTTTGGACTGTGGGAGGAAACCAGAGCACCCGGAGGAAACCCATGCAGACATGGGGAGAATGTGCAAACTCCACACAGACAGTCGCCCGAGGGTGGAATCAACCCCAGGTCCCTGGCACTATGGGGCAGCAGTGCTAACCGTCTGCCCTGGCACCTTACCCACTAGACACCCTATTTACCTGGCACTTTTCCTCCCAAGCTGGTGCCTTACCCACCTGGCATCCTAACCTTCTGGCACCTTAACCTCAGAGTTACCTTTCCTTTATACAGCTGCTGTCCAAGTGGCTGTCTGTGATACTGAACCTTTAAAACACAGAACATGGAAACTGATTGCTTTGAGGAAAAAGAGGCATGGTTTGGCTTCTGTTCACTATCCTACACTGTGAGGGACCTGTCAGGTTTGAAGTTTGGTTCCACCTTGCTGAAGGAATCCCGTGGGATCTCCTTTCAGAAATGTGGTGCTTTCTCATAACGTAAAAAAAGCGAGGAATGAAGCAGTAATCTGCGTATGGTTATCGTTCCTCAGAACATTCAGCCCAAAATGAAGTCTTTGCTCCAATGCATGAGTTACCTGAAATTGTCTTCCCTGTTTCCTTTCCAGGTCATTAAGCAGTTGCAGGGCACTTACGCTGGGACCATCGATCTGGGCAATCAAAATGATTTAGATTTTAAATGCATGATCAACGTTCTGCACAAAACTGTAGGTAGACTGTTTTCTCAAATCTACATCTGACTGCATGGGGGCGCACTAGCAACACTGTTCTTCATCCCCCCTTTCCCCTCCACAGGTACCATTACAGTTGTGACTCGTTGATGACCCTGATAAAATACTGTCAGAATTTCCGGAACCCAGCGAGTATTTCTCATGCAATGCCCTGCCCCATTCCCCTTACGTGCTGGATAACAGGGAGCTTACTGTACACCCTTTTGAAAGTTCCTATGTAACTTCAGCACCATTTCAAGTCATGTGTTCCATATCTTAATAACCCTCTTTAAATTACTCTCAAAAGAGCCAATGCACAGGAGGTGGAACTGAATGCTCTTTATCTTTGGTAAATGATTCTACAATTTTGTCTTTTGTCTTGATCCAGACTTTCCATCAATGGGTTTCACCATTTACTGCCTTCTTAAGAGGCGTGGCAAACTATACAATTATAAGCCCATTAGATGTAGAAGCACAAGCAGAAGCAGGCCATTTGGCCCGTTGAGTCTGCTCCATCGTTCAGTGAGATTGTGACGAATCTGATAATCCTGAACTCAGTGTTTCCGCCTCTTCCCCATGTCCCTTGATTCTGTCACTAATTAAATAACTCTGTCTATCTCAGCCTTAAATATACTTAATGACACATTCTCTGGAGCCGTTTGTATTAAGGAATTCGACAGATTCACAACCCTCTGAGAGAAGGCATTCCTCCTCTTCTCAGTTTTAAACAGGCAATCCCTTACTCTGAAATTCTGTTGTCTGGTCCTAGACTCTTCCCATGGAGGCAAATAACTTCTCCATATCTACTCTATCAAGCTCCCTAAGAATCCTGTATGGTTCAACAAGATCATCTCTCATTCCCTCAAACTCAAATGAGTACAAGCTCAAACTACTCACCCACTCCTCATAAGACAGTCTGTCCATACCTGGAATCCACCTGGTGCACCTCCTTTGGACTCCAGTGCCAATATATCCTTCCTTAGAAGATGAGGCCACAAATATTCATAGTTTTCCAGTTATATAAGAAGTCTAACCACTATGGTTCCAGTATAACTAAGAAGATTAACAATGGCTTCTGTCCTTGCAAATGACACCATTGCCCAGGAATGAAAAATGAATAGATCATAATGTTAACATCAGAATGGAGAGTAGATCAAGAAGTGGGGAAGATGTGTTGCAATTTGCAACATGTTACTTATTTAGTACATTCCACAACCTGGGCAGTTCTCAAAGAATTCTCACTGGCAGTCTGTTCGTTCCTGACAGCAACTCCAACTGTGAAGTCTATCCTATTGTCACTCTATCAGATGCCTATTGGTTCATGGCAGGTTAACACAGAGTTTTCTGACTCAATAACCTTGCATTCTGAGCTGGAGTAACTCCCAACGACATTGGGACTACAAATTGAAACATCAACGCCAACGTGAAGTTCACTTTGTCAAGGGTATACGCAGAATTTTCTTTGATATAAATATTCTGTGCTAACTAATAACAATGTGTTTGGCCTTTAGTTGGACTGCTGTGGTTACAAATCTATATCAGGCCAAATAAAAGGATGTGACTCTTCCAAATATAAGGTATGATTTAATCCTGAATAGAGTCATTACTGAAATTGATGTATATTGTAATAACCCTGGAAGCATATACCTTGCTAACACCTTTGGTTAATGTGTAGTGAAGGGTGGACTGAAAATTAAAGGGAACAAAGTAACAACACAACAGCTTACATTTATATAGTGCCTTTAATATAATGGAATCTTCACAGGAGCATTATAAAACAAAACATGGTACTAAGTCATGGAAGGATGGTCATAGGACAGGTGGTGGGAAGCTTGGTCAGGAAATGTTTTTAACTAGTGTCTGAAAGAAAGAAAGAGAGTTGGAGACCTGTAGGGAGGATATTTCAGAGGGCAGTTAAGAGACAACCAGAATTACTATGGGTCTGGAGTCACACGTAGGCCAGACAAAGTAAGGATAGCAATTTCCTTCCCATCTCTGCATATCATTTGTAATCAGCATTGTTCTTTACTCAACAGAAATGTTCAGGTCCTGATGATTTATCTTTTGAGTCAATCCTTGTTTAACCAGTTTTCATTGCCATTGATTTCAAGTCATAATCAGTGTCACAGCCTAGGTACCAGCTGTTGTGAAAAGCTGACATCCCAGACTGTCAGTCTGATTGTTCCCAAGGAGGGAATATGTCTCTCAATTCCTGAAAGCAGTGATGGAGATGAAAGCCTTTTGGTCAGGGCGGGGTGGTGGTAGATAACAGTTAGACTGCAATGTCAGTAATGTCAGATGATATCAGGTCACATGGAACTGGGAGCAGAGGGAAAAAGATTCTCCTGGAGTCCTGCTAGCCCATATCTGTGTAAATAGTGTCAATAGTTATTAAATGTTCACTAGTTTACATGCGAGTGTGGTTTCCAGCCCTCAGCTATTGAAAGCATGCTGAGTCTGGCTGTGATATTTCTACAGGGAGGGAAAGTTAGAAACTGGCCCTAAGTATTTATTGCTTCATTAAAACAATAATGGCAGGTCTAAGTGGAATCATAAAGCTGCCTGATAATTGCTCTCAAATAGATTTGAGTCGGCATTTGTGAATGTCTTTATAGATGTGGAAGCAGATTTCCAGGCATTATTCAGGGCAATTTGTGTGATGTGACTCTGTCTAATTTGGAAGAGCCAAATGCAGAACTGAGATTATCAGGTATCGCATCAGAAAAAGATTTGCATTCTTAAAGCGCCTTTTGTGACCTCAAGACATCCCAATGGATTTTACAGTTAATAAAGTACTGTTTGAACTAAAATCACTGCTGTCAAGTGGGAAACAGAGCACCCAATTTATGAACAGCCACTCGCATGAACTGAAATGAGATAATGAGTACATCAGCTATTTTTGGTTGTATTGATGAGGGATGATTATTGGCCAGGGCATCAGCGATAACTCCCCTCTGGGTTTGATGTAAAAATCTAGGCTGACGGGGTCACTGCAGTACTGAGGGAGTGCCGCAATGTTGTTGTTGGCACCTTTTGGCCAAGACAGTAAATCAATGCTTCATCTCCCCTGTCATGTGGATGTAGAAGGACTCCATTCCACAATTATGCAGAAAGAGAAGGGGAGTTCTCCCTCAAGTCCTGCCCAATGTTTATCACTCATCATTTAACACAAAACAGATTACCTGGTCACATGTGCTGGTTGTGGTAACTGGCTGCCACATTGCCTACAACAGGGACAACACTTGAGAAATACTTCAGTCATGAAAAACACAGTGATGAAAAATTCTGTCATTTCATCATCTCAGTCTGGGTCAACTGTGGGGATGAAAGAACAATATTCTCTTCCTGTATCATCCTATTTCCTTTACAATCCAGGAGGCCATGCTGTCAGTTCTCTGCATAAAAAATACATTCTTAATATAGGCAGGTCATTAGCTGTTGGGAATGGGTTTCACCACTCTGCTCCCATTGTATTTCATCAACCTGTTAATGGCTAATATAGTATTCAAAGGCCAGAATCCTCATCTCCTGCTTGATGGGAATGTGTAACAAATCTTCCACCTGAGAGCTAGGAATAGTACCAGTAAAACAAGGCCCTACTCCCAAATGATCTATCAAAGTGATGAAATTCAGGAACAATGCAAGAGCTAACTCTTACTTTTGATATTTTGATTCAGGACTGCCTAGAAAGCATTGAACATATCATCAACTCCAAGCTTCACATTTTTGCAGCTATCGCCTTTGGCATCGCTCTCATTACGGTAAGAGCTACCCTGCGGCAATTTGATTCAGGCCTTTGGTTCAGTTCTCCTGCCAGTTGTTGATGCCTGTTTGTTGTCTTTCAGGTTTTCGGGATAATCTTTACGATTCTGTTGTATCGATCCATCAAGCAATCAGCTGATATAATTTAAAACAATCTGAACATCGGATATCAAAGTGCCACTCTGAAACTATACATGTTTCCTCTTTATAAGGCAAATGCTATTTTTACAGCAAAAAAAGTCCCAGTCATTAATTTCCATTTACTGTTTACAAAATGTGTTTATTTTTGGTTAAAATGTATTTTCATTACTCAGCACAATTCGAGGGCACTTTCGTTCTGTAATTTTATCTGTTGAGTGTCTGCTGCCAATGTTTGGAATTATTAAGTAACAGGCTTTGGGCTGGAGGTTGTTGAAATTTAAGACACAAATGGACCCATCTTCGACTAGGCCTCATGCAAATTGGCTGCTGCAAAGGGACAAACTGAAAGCAGTAAAGATCTAACCTTGGCTCAATTTCCCTCCCGTCACTGGGAGGAAATCCCTTTTGTCCAATTTTACTGAACTGCAATGAATAGCTCACCTCCTTGCCCTTCCAGAAGTATGCCAGCTCAAATACTTTGTGCTTGTTTTGCTGGTGTGCGTGTGGGCAGTGAATGCCACCCGATGACTGAGTCTGCCCATTTGGGGAAGGGTATCAGACAACAGCTTGCCTTTATTATACACAAACAAAGTTGCTGGAGAAGCTCACCAGGTCTGGCAGCATCTGTGAAGGAAAAAACAGAGGTAACATTTGGGGTCCGGTGACCCTTCCTCAGAACCCTTCCTCACAGCAGCAGTGAAACCAATTACTTCAACCCCTGTTACATCATCCACCTCTCACTTTGGAATGACTTGAGTGGGCACCAAGCTCTCAATCTCAAAGTCTTTCACTAGCCCGCTCCGCCCATTGAGACCATGTCACCTCTCCTCGGAGCAAACCAGTGATGCCCTCATCCTGTGAATGAATAAAGAAAAAATCCAGACAGTTCCACTCCCCCATTTGGTCCCTGTAGTCCTGTAACTTTATTTCCATCAAATATCGAGCCAATTTTTTTTACCATCTCTACAAAGACATTGACAGTTGCTGTGTAAAAAGTTTGTTCTTACGTTCCATCTCCATCATTTTGCCCAAAACTTTTGAACAGTGTCCATCTCCCAGTCCTTGTTCTGTCACGGTGATAGATTTTGCTCATTGACCTTAGCTGAATATGTCATTATCTGGTAAAACACTATTAATCCTCCACTTCATTTCCTTTACTCTAAGTTCAACAACTCCAACTTCCCCATCCTAATCTTGTTACTGGACATCTTCATCTCTGGATCCATACTGGTATGTTTCGTCTGTGCCTGTCAAGAACCCTCACATCTTTGTTATTGTGTGATGACCAGAAACTATACATTGTACTCCAACTTTAGCCCCTCACTTTATGAAGGTTCAACATAATTTCCTTGTACTCACTGCCTCTATTTATGAGCCCCAATCCCATAGGTTTTGATAACTGCACTATCATTATGGTTTCCCACCTTCAAAGTTTTAAACACATGACATTCCAGTTCCGTCTGTCCCTGTACTTTCTCTGGAACTGTGTCATTAAGTCTCAATTGCATATCCCTTCAACAGAGTACATCATCTCACACTGCTCTGTATCAAAAATGCTGTGGATGCTGGAAATCTGAAACAACCACACAGCATACTGGAGAAACTCAACAGGTCCGCTAGCGTTTGCAGAGACAGTTAATGTTTTTGAGTTTGGTATGACTCAGTTCTGCAGAAGAGTCATAAGAAATAGGAGCAGGAGTAGGTCATCTGGCCCATTGAGCCTCCTCCACCATTCAATAAGATTGTGGCTGATCTCTTCATGGACTCAGCTCCACTTACCCACCCACTCACCAAACCATTAATTTCTTTACTGTTCAAAAGTCTATCTTTGCCTTAAAAACATTCAACAAGGTAGCCTCAACTGCTTCACTGCCAGGGACTTCCACAGATTCACAACCCTTTGGGTGAAGAAATTCTGCCTCAACTCAGCCCTAAATCTGTTCCCCCTTATTTTGAGGCTATGCCTCCTACTTCTAGTTCCTCCCTTCAGTGGAAACAATCTTCCTGCTTCTATCTTGTCTATTCCAATCATAATTTTGTATGTTTCTATGATACCCCTCATTTTTCTAAATTGCATATAGTATAGTCCCAGTCTACTCAATCTCTCCTCTTAAGCCAACCCTCTCAACTTCAGAATTAACCTAGTGAACCTCCTCTGCACCCCCTCGAGTGCCAGTACATCCTTTCTCAAGTAAGGAGCCCAAAACTGTACAAAGTATTCCAGGTGTGGCCTCACCCGCACCCTATACAGCTGTAACATAAACTCCCAACTCCATCCCTCTAGCAATGAAGGACAATATTCCATTTGCCTTCTTAATGACCTGCTGCATCTGAAATTGCAGCATGCTGCAATTTTTCACCATTTAAATAACAGTCCATTTTGCTGTGATTCCTACCAAAATGGATTACCTTACATTTACCAACATTGTACTCCATCTGCCAGACTCTTGCCTGCGCACTTAATCTATCTATATTGCTCTGCAGATTTTCGGTGTCCTCTGCACACTTTGGCCTTCCGCTGACCTTAGTGTTATCTGTGAACTTTGAGACACTACACTTGGTCGCCAACTCTAAATCATCTATGTAAATTGTAAACAATTGCAGTCCCAACACTGATTCCTGAGGCACACCACTAGTCACTGATCATCAACCCATTAATCCCCACTCTTTGCTTTCTGTTCGTTAACCAATCTTCTATCTATGCTAATACATTAATCCTTAATGCCATGTGTCTTTTTCATTTATGGCAGCCTTTTGTACGGCACCTTGTCGAATACTTTCTAGAAATCCAGATACACCACATCCACCTGCTCCCTGCTGTCCACCGCGGTTGTAATGTCCTCAAAGAATTCCAGTAAATTAGTTAAACATGACCTGCCTTTCATGAACCCACGCTGCACCTGCCCAATGGGACAATTTCTATCCAGATGTCTCGCTATATCTTCCTTGATGATTGATTCAAGCATTTTCCCCACTACAGAAGTTAAACTAACAGACCTGTAGTTACCCACCTTTTCTGTACCATTTTTTAAGCAGTGTCGTAACATTTGCTGTTTTCCAATCTGCCTGAACAGACCCAGAGTCCAGCCAATTTTGGTAAATTACGAGGAGTGTTATTTTCCCCGGCCATGTCTTTTAGCACCCTAGGATGCACTCCATCATGACTAGGTGACCTGTCTACCTTTAGCCCCATTAGCTTGCCCAACACTACCTGTTTAGTGATAATGATCATTTCTAGGTCTTCACTTGCCGTAGCCTCCTTGTCGTCAATTATTGGCATGGTATTTGTGTCTTCCATTGTGAATTCCAACACAAAATAGCTGTTCAACGCCTCACCCATTTCCTCATTTCCCATTATTAAATCCCCTTTTACATCCTCTGAAGGACTTCGCCATCTTTTTCATTTTATGTATTTGTAGAAGATTTTGTTATGTGTTTTTATGTTCTGAGCTAGTTTACTCTCATAATCTATCTTAACTTTCTTTATAGCTTTTCTTTGTGGCTTCCTGTTGACCTTTGAAGATTTTATATCCGCTAGTGTCCCACCAATCTTTGCTACTTTGTATGCATTAGCTTTCAATTTGATGCCCTCCTTTATTTCCTTTAGTTATCCAAGGCTGATTATCACTTTTCCTACAGCCCTTCCTTTTCACTGGTATATATTTTTGCTGAGCACTGTGAAAAATCACTTTGAAAGCCCTCCATTGTTCCTCAATTGTCCTGCCATAAAGTCTTTGCTCACAGTCTATCTTAGCCAACTCCTCCCTCATCCCTTCTTTGTTTAAGCACAAGACATTGCTATTGGATTTTACCTTCTCCCCCTCTGTCTGTATTTTAAATGCTACCATACTGTGATCGCTCTGTCCAAGAGGATCCCTATCTATGAGACCATTAATTAATCCTGTCTCATTACACAGGACCAGATCTAGGATAGCTTGAGTCATACTGGACTCAAAATGTTAATGCTGTTTCTCTTTCGACAGATGCTGCCGGACCTGCTGAGTTTCTCCAGCATTCTCTGTGTTGGTTCTATCTGCCACTTTGCCTGTCATTCTGTTAATCTATCAAACATCCTATTGTAGGCAGATTGTGTCATCCTTACTGCTTGCCTTTCCTCCCAGTTTTGTATCAAAATCATGGCTACTGTAAGCAGATATCCCTGGATGTACAACTGGGACCTGTGGGCTTGGTGGAAGGCTTTCACCTCTGCAGTAAAACCTGACTGATTCTCCGATACCTGCAACGAAGCTACATTCTGAAAGAGCTGGTCCAATAAAACTTATCCCAATAGTTCAAATGTTCATATTACTGAACATGATTTGTGTTTTTAGGAATAGCACTCTATAATTCCATGCCTCCTTCTTAGGAAAATCACCATCAGCAGTTATAAAATAGAATAAGTTTAACATGGTAACAGCTTTGAACTCACCCCTGGATTAAGGTCAGTTATAATACTGCCTTTTGACACTGGTGATATAGTCCAGCTTTGTTTGTTATGACTTTCCACGCATTAATATTATTGAAAGTGCTAATCTATAAACAATTGTAAAAGCTAACAATAAAAATAATAAAGATATTGCTTTGTGTTTTATCAATTACAGGGTATTTAACATCCTCCCAGCTGGTCTGAACTGGAGTTTGATACTCCACATGAATTTATTTCCACCTCCCCTTCATTTCAGCCGATCACCCTATCCTTCTTTTCCTTCCTCCCTCATGTGTTGTTCTAACTTTCCCTTAAAAGTGTTGATGCCATTTGCTTTGACCTCTTCCTGTGATAGGAACTTCCGCATTCTCAACACTCCGGGGATGTAAACATGAATTGTTTTAAGGATGAACTCAGCCTGGTGGCAACGAGCCTCTGGTGGAGAGATTACAATACTTCCTGTGTTATAACAGTGGCTACACTTCTGAAAGTGCTTCATTGCTTGATCAGCACTTTCAGATGGCATGGTGGCTCAGTGGTTAGCACTGCTGCCTCACTGCGCCAGGGACCTGGGTTCAATCCCACCCTCGGGTGACTGTTTGTGAGGAGCTTGCACATTCTCCCCGTGTCTCCGTGGGTTTCCTCCCACAGTCCAAAGATGTGCAGACTAGGTGGATTGGCCATGGGAAATGCAGGGTTGCAGAAATGGGGTGGGGTGGGTCTGGGTGGGATGGTCTTCAGGGGTCGGTGTGGACTCAATGGGCTGAATGGCCTGCTTCCACACTGTAAGGTTTCTATACAAATAGTGAAAGGTGCTACAGAAATGCAAGGTTTTCCCTTCACTAATTCACTGGAGGGTGTTGAACAAACAGGAAGCTAGGGCCTGGAAAAGAGGGAGCAGGATTTAGGGGTAAATCAGGACCCAGTAACTGGGGCCAAGAGGTCTAGAGGGCTGCCTGTGTAAAAGTTGGGGCCAGATGTAGTATACTCAAGGCAGGAACAGGCAGCAGGCATGGGGTAACAAGGTGTAGAGCTGGATGAACACAGCAGGCCAAGCAGTATCAGAGGAGCAGGAAAGCTGATGTTTCGGGCCTAGACCCTTCTTCAGAAATGGGGGAGGGGAAGAGGGTTCTGAAATAAATAGGGAGAGAGGAGGAGGCGGATAGAAGATGAATAAAGGAGGAGATAGGTGAAGAGGAGACAGACAGGTCAAAGAGCGGGGATGGAGCCAGTAAAGGTGAGTGTTGGTGGGGAGTTAGGGAGGGGATAGGTCGGTCCAGGGAGGACGGACAGGTCAAGGGGGCGGGATGTGGCTAGTAGGTAGGAGATGGGGGTGGGGCTTGAGGTAGGAGGAGGGGCTAGGTGGGAGGAAGGACAGGTTAGGGAGGCAGGGACAAGCTGGGCCGGTTTTGGGATGCGGTAGGGGGAGGGGAGATTTTGAAGCTTGTGAAGTCCACATTGATACCCTTGGGCTGCAGGTTACCCAAGCGAAATATGGTGCTGTTCCTGCAACCTTCGGGTGGCATCATTGTGGCACTGCAGGAGGCCCAGGATGGAGATGTCGTCTGAGGAATGGGAGGGGGAGTTGAAATGGTTCGCGACTGGGAGGTGCAGTTGTTTAGTGCAAACCGAGCGTTGGTGTTCCGCTTAGCAGTCCCCAAGCCTCTGCTTGGTTTCCCCGATGTAGAGGAGGCCACAACGGGAACAGCGGATACAGTATACCACATTAGCAGATGTGCAGGTGAACATCTGCTTGATGTGGAAAGTCTTCTTGGGGCCTGGGATGGGGGTGAGGGGGGAGGTGTAGGGGCAGGTGTAGCACTTCCTGCGGTTGCAGGGTCAAGTGCCGGGTGTGGTGGGGCTGGAGGGGAGTGTGGAGTGGGCAAGGGAGTCACGGAGAGAGTGGTCCCTCTGGAAAGCAGATAAGAGTGGGGAGGGAAAAATGTCTTTGGTGGTGGGGTCAGATTGCAGATGGCGGATGTGTCGGAGCATGATGCGTTGGATCCAGAGGTTGGTGGGGTGGTACGTGAGGACGAGGGGGATTCTGTTTTGGTTGTTATTGCGGGGAGGGGGTGTGAGGGATGAGTTGCGGGAAATGCGGGAGACACGGTCGAGGGCGTTGTCGACCACTGAGGGGGGGATGTTACGGTCTTTGAAAAACGAGGACATCTGAGATGTATGGGAGTGGAACGCCTCAACCTGGGAGCAGATGCGGCGGAGGCGAAGGAATTGGGAATAGGCGATGGCATTTTTGCAGGAAGGAGGGTGGGAGGAGGAGTATTCTAGGTAGCTGTGGGAGTCGGTGGGCTTGCAATAGATATCGGTTTCTAGGTGGTTGCCAGAGATGGAAACAGAGAGGTCCAGGAAGGAGAGAGAGGTATTGGAGATGGTCCAGGTGAACTTAAGGTTGGGGTGGAAGGTGTTGGTGAAGTGGATGAACTGTTCGAGCTCCTTGTGGGAGCACGAGGCGGTGCCGATACAGTCATCGATGTAACAGAGGAAGAGGTGGGCATAGGGCCAGTATAGCTTTGGAAGGGGGATTGTTCGGCCCGTGCAGGTACCCATGGCCACCCCCTTTGTCTGTAGGAAGTGGGAGGAATTGAAAGAGAAGTTGTTGAGGGTGAGGACAAGTTCGGCCAAGCGGATGAGGGTGTCAGTGGAGGGGGATCGGTCGGGCCTGTGGGACAGGAAGAAGCAGAGGGCCTTTAGGCCATCTGCATGGGGAATGCAGGTGTATAGGGACTGGACATCCATGGTAAAGATGAGGTGTGGGGACCAGGGAATTGGAAGTTTTGGAGGAGGTGGAGAGCATGGGTGGTGTCACGGATGTAGGTCGGGAGTTCCTAGACCAAGGGGGAGATATGGAGTCGAGATAGTTGGAGATAAGTTCGGTCGGGCAGGAGCAGGCGGAGACAATGGGTCGACCAGGGCAGTCAGGTTTGTGGATTTTGGGAAAGAGATAGAAGCGGGCGGTGCGGGGTTGGGGAACATGAGGTTGGAGGCTGTGGGTGGGAGGTCACCTAAGGTGATGAGGTTGTGGATGGTTTGGGAGATGATGGTTTGGTGCTCAGGGGTGGGGTCATGATCAAGGGGGCGGTAGGAGGAGGTGTCGGAGAGTTGGCGCCTGGCCTTGGCGATGTAGAGGTCAGTGCGCCATACTACAACTGCGCCTCCCTTGTCCGCGGGTTTTATGGTGAGGTTGGGATTGGAACGGAGGGAGCGGAGGGCTGCACGTTCTGTGGGGGAGAGGTTGGAGTGGGTGAGAGGGGTGGAGAGGTTGAGGCGATTGATGTCTCGACGGCAGTTGGAGATGAAGAGGTCGAGGGAGGGTAGGAGGTCTTGGGGTGGTGTCCAGGAGGAGGGGGTGTGTTGGAGGCGGGAGAAGGGGTCAGTAGGGGGAGGGTTAGGCTCACAGCTTCAATTAGGGGCAGTACCAGGTCACTGACTGAAATAAAAACCAAAAGAACTGCAGATGCTGTGAATCAGAAACAAAGACAGAAGTTGCCGGAAAAGCTCAACAGGTCTGGCTGCGTCTGTGAAGGGAAAATCAGAGTTAACATTTTAGGTCCAGTGATCCTTCCCCAGAAGTCAAAATGTTTACTCTGGTTTCTCTTCACAGATGCTATCAGACCTGCTGAGCTTCTCTAGCAATTTCTGTCTCTGACTGAAATCCCCACCTTACATCATTGTCCCATCCTGGTGAGGACAGCGGAAAAAGGATGAGGGAGGTCTAGTTAAAACTGTACAAGGCAATAGTCAGACCGCAGATGGAATGCTTTGAACAATTTTGAGTCCCCTTCTCTATGGAAAGATATACTGCCATTGGAGGCAGTCTAGCAATGGTTCACTCGACTGATCCCAGGTATGGAGGGACTATGTTATGAAGCGAGATTGTACAAAAGGGTAAAGTCACCATAGTCCTCCTCTCTCAGAGAGAGAGAGACAGACAGCTGGTGATTGTATAACCTGAGGGTCACCATACCTCAAGTGAGGGGAGAGGTTGAGAAAGAGTTCTTCAAGGTAACCACGGCCAGTGCAGGATTTGTGCCCATATGTTGGCTTCACTCTACATTGCTAACCAACTTTCCAGCTAACTGAGCTAACCAACATATGAGATGTGGGTGTTGTTTACAAGGCCAGCATTTTGGTTGCCCATTCCAAATTGCCCTTGAACTGAGCAGCTTCTCACCTTTTCAGAGGGCAGTTAAGAGTCAACCCGCACTGTAGTTGGTCTGGGGTTGAGGTAAGTCAGACCAGGTAAGGATGACAGTTTCCATCCCGAAAGGACATTAGTGAATCAGATGGTTGTTTTACAACAATCAATTGTGATTAGATGGTTGGCATTAACCATGCCTCTTTATGCAACAATTGATAATATTTGGATAGTCACCATCACTGGCTCTAGCTTTCAATTCTAGATTTATTAATCAAATTTCATTACCACCAGCTGCTGTGGTCGGTCTTGAACCCCAGAGCATTGGCATTAGATTATTGTTCAGTAATAACACCACTATGCTCCCATCTCCTCCAATTCCCATGGCTTAGCAACAAAAAAAATGCATTGGTACAGTATTTGTGACAATTGCACCATTGACTGGGCTTCTAATGGAATTGAAGATGATTGGTAAGAGACAAGAGAGTTTCTCCATGAAAGAAATATTTTCATTGTTGAGATTCTGAGTGTCTTGCCAGAGAAGATAGTGGAAGCAGTTGTAACTTTGAAACAGCATTTGCATAGATAGTTGAGAAATAAGCAAACACAGTTATGGGGCAAGAGTGGATGGAGTGGGGCTAAAATCACACGCATGATCAGTTCAGTGGCCTTCTTTCAGTGCTCTAAGATTGTGTGGAAATGGTACACTATTTGAAACAGTGGAGAGACTAGGGGAAGAAGCAGGCACAGTAAATACATGGTAAACGCATGGCAAATGTAAAGTATTCATTTGGTGAAGGTAGAGGTTGAGGTTAGGATTCGAGTTAAGGTTGGGGCATTAATCATTTAACAGAAATGTTTACAGATCTGATCTGGTAGATAGTGCATCCTGTTTTTTTTATGGATTTCACAATTGACGCCACAAGTGCATTTAATCAGCTCTACAGCAAAATGAATTAGCCTGAGATTAAATATTGAAGGATTTATAGAAAGCGAACAAAATAACAATGATGGGATATTGCATCGTTTCCTATTGATGAAATGGCCTTGCACGCAGGCTCACAGTCACACTGGCAAAGCAGCTGAAAATTGAGAAAAATTCACGTTCTTAGATTAAGTCCCTCAGGCCAAGGGCAAGTCAGAACATTGTGAGGTTGCATTATGTGAAGAGATCTGGGACAAAGGTTGAGAATCACAAATAATTAATGAGGTGGAGGTGAACCATGAATCAGACGAAGAGTTATTCCAGTCTGGAACTGGTGTCAAAAGAAGTTCAGAACTGCTGAAAATATTGAAAGCTGGTTTATACAAATGAAAATGTTTGTGTTTTAAGGAACAATTCTTCGAGAAACAGCCTTGGGACATCTCCAAGGGCTCTACAGCCATGGAAGCACTTTGGAAGTGTAGTTACTGCTGTAATGTGGCAGTCAATTGGTGCACAGCAATGTGATAATGATCAAATAATCTGTTTTGGAGATGGTGATTAAATATTGATCAGGACATTGGGAATATTCCCCTGCTCTGTGGCAAAATAGTGCTGTGGTATCTTTTACCTCAGCTTGAGAGGGCAGATGACGCTTCACTTTAACATCTCATCCAAAGACAGAAGCTCTGACAGAATAGCATCCTTCAGTACTAAACTGGAGGCTCAACCATGGCGTTTGTGTGCAATCCCACCGCCCCCATGGTGAGTTTGTTAGCAATGGGGACATTTAATCAGGGGAGAGGGAGACAGGCGGAGTCTTGCTTACCTTCCCACCACTGGCCCATCACTGTGGGTCTGGAGTCATGTGTAGGCCAAACCCAGTAAGCATGATAGATTTTCTCCCTAAAGGACATTAGTGAACCAAATGAATTTTCCAGCAATCAACAATAGTTTCATCATTAGACTCTTATTTCCAGATTTTTACTGAATTCAAACTTCGCCATCTGCCTGGGAGCAAGTGGGATGGTGAATCTGGATCCCCCAGAGCATTACCTGGATTCCTGGATTAATAGTCTTGAAATAATACCACTAGGTCAATGCCTCCCCTAACTAGAACCTTGGCCTCCTAACTCAGAGTAGGGATACTGCAACTGCACCAAAAGAGCCCCCAAATGTCAGTTGCTAAGCTGACATGAGAAGGGTTGACTTAATAATGGGAGCAGGAGGACACGTGAATTCAGTTCAATTGAGGAGTGGCTCCTCTTCCAGTGAACAGTGTAATAGGAATTTAGGGATTTAATGATATCCCCTCTCCTTCTGTGTTCCCACCTAGGGTTGTCCCAGTCCAAACAGCAGGGAAGCAGGCTCTCCATTCACTCCATTGGCTTATAAAGTGCTGCTCTGGTGTGGAGGGAGTGAGAATCTCATGATGAAAGTTAACCAAAATGCGTTTTACCAACTTCAGACTATTCCTGCCTCTTCCTGAAAATGAAACATGGCAGACATGGCTCCCAATTTGAAATGCTGATCATAGAGGGAACTTGGCATTTCATTGCTGTCTAAACAACAGGAAAAGACAGAAACTAGTGCAGTCTGAGCACGTTTGAAGACAGAGCAACTATTGCTTGGCTTTAAGCAATGTCACCATCATGTTACATTCGGAATCCACCTTACATCTTTCTAACCCAGAAATTAAAGTTGAAAAGCTTTTCTCCTTTTGAAAGAAACTCTCCAAATATGGAGATAGTAAGAACTGCCGATGCTGGAGTCAGAGATAACACAGCGTGGAGCTGGAGGAACACAGCAGGCCAGGCAGCATCAGAGAAGCAGGAAAGTTGACGTTTTGGGTTGGGACCCTTCTTCAGAAATGGGGGAGGGGAAGGGGGCTCTGAATCTCCAGACCTGAAATGTCAGCTTTCCTTCTCCTCTGATGCTGCCTGGCCTGCTGTGTTCCTCCAGCTCCACACTGTGTTATCTCCAAATATGGACCTTTTTGTTGTCACTGGCAAGGCTTCCAGGCTCCAAATGTCACAATTGTTGGTAGAATGCCAGTTGTTGACTCCAGGGCACTGATCTATGGCCTCTTCCTCTTTTGCTTTATGAAGAGATCCCTGGAGGAGAAACAGAGAAGGTAATAAATGTCAGTAGCATATCAATTAAGATATAGGATCAACCGTCAGAGGAAGTCATCCATGCACTTAGGCAAAACAGCCAATGTTACACAATGCGTGCACCTGCTGTCTGTTCCACTACCCCTGAGATCTGGTGGTGAATGGCATGATAGTTAAGTTCTGCCTGGGGAAACAGAAACAGGTTAACTTGTACTCAAAGAACAACATGGCTTTGGGAAACTGGCTGATAACACAGCATCATCAGTGGAAATCTGCCATGGGTAATTTATAAAGAGAAATGGCAGAAATGGTTTGGAGATATGTCTCAGAACAGAAAGCATGAAAGATGTTTGTGGCTTGTTATCACGTTGGTACACTCACACAGACACACCCACACTGACTCCATAACTTCCACTGTAAAAGCTTGCTGCAGCTAGACGTTTAAACAGTTTGAAATGCACAGGAAGAAACAGTCCTGAATGTAACAGCTGTGGTGGTGCAGTGAGAATATAGCAGTCGTTTCTTTGCACTAATGTTCACAGCGCAAGGGAGGAAAACTCTCAATTTCATGATAATGCATACGCAGTCACATTTCTTGCATTTAAACACTTGACTTTGATCTTAGGCTGACCAATCAAAGCAGCCGCATTCTGTCACTGAATCACATTTAGCCAAACAAGAGAATATTCTCTGAACTGGAGCTACTCTCATTTTCGCAGAAGTCCTGTCGAACAGCTTTGTCATGTAGACCTGATAAACTGTCAGCTACAAATGGCTCCTGGTCAAAGTGCTTGAACAAATTGTGTGGAGTAGTTTTGAAATGTTCTAGGAACATGGGGTGGCACGGTGGCTCATTGGTTAGCACTGCTGCAACATAGTGCAGGGACTCGGGTTTAATTCCAGCCTTGGGCGACCATCTGTGTGGAGTTTGCACATTCTCCGTGTTTGCATAGGTTTCCTCTGGATGGTTTGGTTTCCTCCCACAGTCTAAAGATGTGCAGGTTAGGTGGATTGGCCATGGGAAGTGCAAAGTCACAGGGATAGGGAAGGGGTGATGGGTGTGGATGGGATACTGTTTGGAGGGTTGGTGTGGGCTCGATGGGCTGAATGGCCTGCTTCCATACTGTAGGTATTCTATGATTCTATGAACATTGAATGACCTGACAACTTCATAAGAGAAATTGGCAGAGTCTTTAATGTATATTTTTTCAAAAAGAAATCCAGCCTGCAGATTGAACTTTACTACAGCTGGAACCCAGGTGAGGATCCCTAATTAGTCACAATTCCAAATGGGCTATGCCCCAGTGGTTATGCTGCCAGGTGAGGTGGGATTAACTGACTCTCCATTCTTACTCAAGCCCTCTCTAAGTTCATCACAATAGGGTTAATTTCAAGAGAGATCCCTTCCCTCTTTTTCCATCCTGAATATATTTTGAAAGGAACCAATTTATCCTGGCTTTCTTGAGTTAAAGAAAGAGTGAGTTTATTAGATTCTACAATATGAAGAAAAAGGAAGTGATGAAAACTGAATTAGATTGATGTTTAAATGCATACAAATCATCGTTTTCATTGGCAACCACTCACTAACGAATATAATCTTCCACCAGAGGAGGTTCCGTGTCACTGGTCTGGGGCTCTGTGTGTCCTTGCTTGGCTGATGACCTCAATCCTAGAGCCACATCTCCAACCAGAGATGGGATTTCTGGAGGTGGGTTTTGTCCTTGGCTTTGGGATCTCTGGCATTTCTTTCTCTGGCTTCTTTTCCCTACTTCCTCTTGTTGACAAATGTTCCCGAAGAATACCAATCTTCTTCCAAGCCTCTTTTTTCTGAGCAAAGGCCTCCCAGGTATTGCATTTCTTGAGGGAAGACTTCACAGAGTCTTTGAAATGCTTCCTTTGTCTTTGTCTCGTTCAAGAGCCTTCCTTGAGCTGGGCGAAGAAGATTTACTTTGGTAGTCAGAACTCAGGTGTCCTAGCATGGGGGCGGTCCAGTGGAGTTGGTTTTGGATGATAATGACCTTGATTCTGGTGCTTTTGGCTTCTTCAAGGATGCTGATGTTAGTATTCCTGTCCTCCCAGTTGATGCGGAGACTCCCTCTCAAACAATGTTGATGGTACTTCTCCAGGGTCCTGAAGTCACGTCTATACGTAGTCCAAGTTTCGAGGCATATAGAAGAGTTGGAAGGATGTCTGCCTTAGACACAAAGATCTTGGTATCATTATGGATGTCATGACCAGCGAAGACGCTTATCCTTAGGTGTCCAAAAGCAGTGTTCACAGCTTGGATGTGGTGTTGGATCGTCACATCAAAGTCAGCCTTAGATGAGAGATGACTCACTAGGTAGGGGAAATGTTCCACATTTGGGGGGATTTCTCTTTTGGTCTCGATGGAGGCATAGGCCAGAATGTGCTTTGGGATGAACTTGAGTCTTCTGGAGGTTGAAGCTGAGACCAATTCTTTGGTATGTTTCTGCATAGTCATTAAGCATAGCTTGAAGATTTTCTTCTGAGAAATCAGGGATGGCGTTATCACGTGTACACTGAAATTCCATGAGCAATGTCAGAGTTGTCTTCTTAAATTTCAAACGGTTGAAGTTGAAATTTTTTTTGTCCATTGTATAGACAACGTCCACACCACTGAGTAGCTTGGTCTTGACAAGACGAAGGATGGGGCGATGAAGATGGAGAAAAGGTTGGGAGCGATGAAGCCTATCTGCATAACTCGTGTCTTGACTTAAAAAGATTCTGTCATATTACCATCAGTGAGGACCATGGCTGGCATCTTATCATGGAGGATATGCAAGATATTGATGAACTTCTCTGGACAACTGGCTTTTGACAGGGTCTTCCACAGCACTTTCCAATTGACTGAGTCAAAAGCCTTGGTCAGGTCAATGAAGACCATGTCGAGTGGTTGGTGTTGTCTCTGACATTTAGATTGGAGTTGTTGAGCAGTGAAGGTCATGTCCATTGTCCCATAGTTTATTCAAAACCAAACTTTCTTTCCAGAAATAACAAGGTATGGAGCTGGATGAACACAGCAGGTGTCCTCACGTACCACCCCACCAACCTCCGGATTCAACGCATCATTCTCCGACACTTCCGCCACCTGCAATCTGACCCCACTACCAAGGACATTTTTCCCCCCCCACCCTTATCTGCCTTCCGGAGGGACCACTCTCTCCGTGATTCCCTTGTCAGCTCCACACTCCCCACCACCCCTGGCATTTTTCCCTGCAACCGCAGGAAGTGCTACACCTGCCCCTACACCTCCCCCCTCACCTCCATTCCAGGCCCCAAGAAAATCTTCCACATTAAACAGATGTTCACCTGCACATCTGCTAATGTGGTATATTGTATCCGCTGTTCCCGATGTGGCCTCCTCTACATCGGGGAAACCAAGCGGAGCCTTGGAGATTGCTTTGTGGAACACCTACACTCGGTTCGCGACAAACAACTGCACCTCCCCGTCGCGAACCACCTCATCTCCCCCTCCCACTCCTTGGACGACATGTCCATCTTAGGCCTCCTCCAGTGCCACAACGATGCCACCCGAAGGCTAGAGGAACAGCACCTCATATTCTGCTTGGGAACCCTGCAGCCCAGTGGGCTCAATGCAGACTTCACAAGCTTCAAAATCTCCCCTCCCGCTACCGCATCCCAAAACCAGCCTAGCTCGTCCCCGCCTCCTTGACCTGTCCATCTTTTCTTCCACCTATCTCCTCCTCCCACCTCACTGACCAACCCCCACCCCCACTTCCTACCTACTAGCCTCATCCCTGCCTCCTTGACCTGTCCGTCTTCACTCCCACCTACCTGCCCCTCCCTCCTCACTGACCAACCCCCATCCCAACTCCCTACCTACACTCACCTTTACTGGCTCCATCCCCACCTCCTTGACCTGTCCGTCTTCTCTCCACCTATCTGTTCCTTTATCCACCTTCCATCATCGCCTCCCCCTCTCTCTATTTATTTGAGTCCCCTTCCCCTCCCCCATTTCTGAAGAAGGGTCCAGACCCAAAACGTCAGCTTTCCTGCTCCTCTGATGCTGTTTGGCCTGCTGTATTCATTCAGCTCTACACCTTGTTATCTCAGAGTCTACACCTTGTTATCTCAGATTCTCCAGCATCGGCAGTTCCTACTATCTCTGGCTTTCCAGAAAGATGTTTTCAGAGACTGTTATAAGATGCCTAACAAGGATTCAGGCAATGATCTTTTCAGCAATGGACAGCAGGGAGATTCCTTGGTAGTTCTCACAATCCACTTTGTCTCCTTTCTTGAACTCAGTGGTGATGGCAGGAATTTCTTCTTTGTCCCAGATTTTCAGGAACAGTTGATAGAGATGACAGGTAAGCTCTGCTCCTCCAAGTTCCATTCATTGTGAGTCTAATGAAGGCTTCAACTTCCGCCACACTATGTAGGACTCCAAGATTATTTTTGATGGGAAGTTGGGGGATTTCCTCAAGCATGTCCTCATCCGCAATTGTGTCGCAGTTTAGAAACTCTTTGAAGTGTTCTCTCCACTGGAGGTTGATGTTTTTCTCTGTCTCTCAAATGGCAGAAAAGTTTGGAGAATAGGCATTCACAACTGTTGCCTGCAGGGTTGGTGGCAAGTTGTAGATGGAGAGTCATGAGGCCATCATTGATGCCAACATGAGGCTCCAAGAATTGTTTGATGAATTTGTTCTTGAGGGTGAATCCAATTCCATACATTCTGAGTTGATCCTCTCCAGAAGAAGATGTAACCACCACCACTTCCCTCAGCTGGCCCTTGCATGCTGTTAGAGGTCAGTGCATGGCAGTGATGCCAATGATGAAGTGCCTGAGCTCACAGGCAACCAGGCTAGTTCTTCATTCCAGATGAATGCTCGCTTGTTGGATTCTTACATTCCAGGTTCCGAGATTGAGGTTCAACTTTGGTTTTCAGACCACAGCTGGATGATCCCGCTGCATGTGGTTTTCCAGACAGGCTGGTGACAGAACAGACTATTTTTAGGGCACCTTTTCTCACCCCATCCTCTTGGGCAAAGTGGATGCTGAAAAGGATTGCCCAGTCATGAGGAAAGCTGCTGAAACACTCTCCTGTTCCTATCCCAAGAGCGAAACGATTGAATGAAACTCCCTTGCTGGTCTGAAGACAGGAACTTCCAAGTCTCACAATCCTGTCCATGTCGCCACTAGCCCATCGTCGTATGGCTTGTGTTGTTGGGTGTGGGGGCAGTGAGATGGTGAATTCCTTTAGTTTACACCTTATGCAGGACATCTGTTAATGTGGC